TGGGGGTCCTATTCGTGAAGCGAGTCATTTGGGCGAAGATCACGATGCTGCACCAGTTTTACGAACAGTGAATGAAAGGTATCATGTGATAACATATACAGTTATTGTGCATCCTCTTTTGACACGTTTTTGCTATAATAGGCGGATCCAGGCGTCCAAAAAGGAGGGTTATGTTTTACCTCCCAACATAGGTGCCCTGACACCGCCTATGCATGACCAATACAATTGTAGTCGTTCTCTCATAAGAAAATTGTAACATAACAAGACCATTACCACCCTTTTTAGAAACAGTACCAACAAAAACCTTATTTACTATACTTTTTGTGTACCCCCAATCTCAATGATCTATATCCGCCTATGATTTTTGAAAATGCATATTTTTAGGATCCATGTGAATTCCTGGTTCATTCTCTATCGATCGGCAAAAGTTGCGTTAAGATTGGATTTGGTTCAGAAACCTGGCCGTGATAAACAGTCTAAAATGTATCTGCAATTTGCACGTTTTTACCCCCCTCTACCCCCCCTATTGACATTTTTAATTTTTGTTTTTTATTTATTTATTTATTTATTTATTTCACATCGTGAGGCAAATCCGTGGAAAAATACGGCTATTACATGCTCGAGTCAGATACAGAATGGGGGGCAATGATGATGAAACAAACACGCGGCATCACAATTCACACAGTCGGATCAGACAAATTGACAACACATTCAGCATACATTTACCGCCGTTTACGTCACTTGCTCGCGCTCATGAAGGTGCTTTCTCAGTCTGGCCTTGAAAGCAGCCTGACCTACGTTGCGCAGTGCTGGAGGAAGCCCGTTGTACTCCGTCACTGCGGAGTACAAAAAGCGGCGGCGTCCCGATTCCGTACATATGGCAGGAGTAGCTAGCTGTTCTCCACCACGAGTGTCTGCCGTGAAGAATCGCTCGTGTCACAAGACTATCAGCAAGTTGCTGCGGCTCAGCAGTGGTAAGCATCTTGTTAACTAGTGCCAGACAGTGGTAGCTGTACAGGCTTTCAATCTGTAGCCACCCCAGCCGCTCTATGACGTCACTCACGCGGTCATACCTCCGCCGGCCGGAGACCACACGCGCCGCAAACCTGACGACTTTCTGGAGCCGCCGGCGCTGCGTCACGTTGCTAGCGCCATACACAGCTAGACAGTATCGGATGACCGACAACACCAGCCCCTGCACCAGTGTGACCAGCACTGACTGAGGGAGACAATGCCTGCTGTGGCTGAGTCCACACAGAGTGCCAGTGCACCGCCGCACTACATCGGATGTGTGCGTGACGAAAGTCATATCACTGTCGAACCACACACCAAGGTTTTTGACGGTGCTCGAGCTGGCGATGGTGGAGCCGGAGAAGTTGATGCTGATCGGAGGCAGCCGCCGTGTCATCTCACGGGTGCCGAGGACAATCAGCTGAGTCTTCGCTGCGTTTATTTTCAGACCGTTCTTGCCGTACCAGTTGGACAGAGAAGTCAGGCTGTCTTCGAGAGATTCCGTGAGACGGACGATGTCTCTCGGTGGGCCAGAGACGTACAACTGGACGTCATCAGCGTAAGCGATGGTGCTGGTCGACTCGTCGATGTAGAGCGGGAGATCGTTGGCATAGACGTTGTGGAGTAATGGCCCGAGGGCTGAACCTTGGAAAGTTCCAATAGGGTTGAGAAGAGGTCGGGAGATCGTACGGCGAAGCGACTGTCCGGCGGACTGCAGCTGCACGCGCTGATAGTGGTCGGCCAGGTAGCTACGGAACCAGCGCGTGTCCACTCCATAGAGCTGCAGCTTCCGTAACAGCGAGTCATGTGGAATGCAGTCAAAACATCGCGAACAATCCAACAGGCACAGCAGTGTCACTTCACGCCGGTCCATACATCGGAAGACATGGTCAGTTAGTGTGAGCAGTGCAGTGTCGGTAGAATGATTGGGTCGAAAGCCGTGTTGTGTGGGTGAGAACAAATGATGGTCAGAAAAGTAAGAGTAGAGCTGTTCGGAAACAACTCGCTCGGTGATCTTACCGATAGTAGTAAGAATAGATATTGGTCTGAAACGGCTAAAGTCATCGGATTTAGAAGGTTTTGGAATGGGGTGCACCAGTGTGAGTTTCCAGGGTTTGGGGACTGTATGTGAGGTGAGGCTTGAGTTCACTATGTGTGTCAGAACGTGGTAAAGTGAGAACAGACACCGTTTTATGAAACGGATACAAAGACCGTCCGCGTCACACGCCGAGGAGTCGCTCATGCTACCTATAATCGAATACAGGTGCTCAGGTGTGAGCACCTGTAGAAATGTAGATCACGTTGAGCGAAATCGAATGCCGTTTGAATTTTGAAAATCGGCCCGTTAGATCTCGAGATATCAAGGGGGGGTCGTAAACAGCCCCCCCCCCCCCTGCCACTAATAGGGGTAGCCAGGAGCCTGCCACTTATAGGGTTAAAACGTTACTCCTGAACGAGGAAGAAATGTAAAAGTCAAAGCTCTATAGACGTCCTGTAAAAGTGGCCATAATAAATAAATTGGTTAGAGATAAGATGCTTTTTAAACGACTTCCTCATATAAAATCGGGTGCTGGGACCAATCTTACAAACGCTTTAGAATGGACAGGGCGTCACTGGCTAAAGTTTGGGTGCAGGAAACGGCTATTAAATGCAAAATGGCTTTCATGCATTTCAGTCAATTGTATATTGACGGTCCCAGTGACCGAGCAAAAAAAAAGAAGTTTGGTAGTGTTTTGCATCTTTTACGCCCTAAGAAACTACACCATCTATTGAAGTGGGCGGGCTTATTTGAATGGGAGGGCGCATTATGCGTCAATCGTGTGCTTTCGTTTGTTTTGGACTGTATTTTACGACATCCACTGCTGGTATCACTATTAATATTATCTAATGCCGTGAATACGACAGCATTCCATTTATAAGATTGGGCCAATGGAGTCGCGCCCTGCGAGCTCGGTTTTCCGCTCGGCCGCTACGGGCCGAGGAAGTCGGTCTTCGCCTGAGGGCAGGACGGAGGTCAGCGAGGGAACGCGGGGTCAGCCAGGTATCGCCCAGTGCCGAGCGGATGCCGCTCCCTCCCCTCTCTTCCCCTCTTCTCCCCTCCCCGCCTCTGTATAGATGGGGAGGGACCGAACTGCCAATGACATGCGAGCGGTCAAGGCCGCTCGCGCGGCAGCGACCCTGGCGGCCGGGTGCCGCAACTGGGATTCAGCCAAGTTACCGATTCGCCTCCTGTGGGAGAGCCAAACCAGGGGACATACTTTTTAGACATACTGTACGTATGCATCATACCATTTGTGTTTTAAAACGTTCCCTCTCAACGTCTATATCATTTGTATCATATCTTACCATCTGGTCTGCTCCGGATGCCAGTGTTTGCCACTCACTTGTTTTCTCCCGATGTGCCTATACCCTGCCCGCAGGAAAGCTAAACTCATCAATCGACTTAACCCGCGCCCGGCTGGGGGTCCTGGATTTCCACGCCCTGCTGGGGGGGTGTTTGAACACCCCCCCTTCTAACTCGGCTCCTGGGCCACGTAGCGATACGCGGAAGGCGGCGTTCGAAAGAGCGTAAAAAATAATGAGGAAATCACTTCGGTCAATTTTTTGCTCAGGTCAAAGGTCAGGTCACCAGAGGTCATTGAAGGCAAAATTTCGCCGATATCCAGGTCGAATGTCGACAATTTCCAAGATGCCAACGCATAACTCGGGAACCAAAAGAGCTACAGCGCCGCGGAAAAGCGCATTCGATAGCCCTATTAACGCCCTTTCTGAGTAATTCTCTCAGATTTGACCTAACGTCAACGGCTTTGCCTGCAGGGGGCAAAAACTGCAAAAATAGCCGATTTTTTCGGAAACAGTTTTTCTGCAATAACTTTTGACCCAAGCCTTGTACGAGCTTACTTTTACCGGCATCGTGTTCCTCTCGTCAAGACGCATCGAATGAACTATAACTTGACCTTGAAAGGTCAACTTGAAAATTTGACCTCAGGTCAAGGTCATGGCCTGACCAGAAAGGGTCATGTTGCATATCAGTCGATCCGTATCGTCGAGCTGAACACATCTAAGGCGTTTTCATCGCTCTAGCATGCTTCTATCAAAAGTTATTTGCGAAAAACTGTTAGATACCATTCGTGACCTAAGATGACCTCAGGGCATAAACAGGGGTCACGGACACCATTTTCATGTTCAGTGTGTCTAAACCACTTGTAATTCAGTGTTTGGGAGTGTTTATAATGTCTTTCGTCCAAAAGAGGCGCATTTCAATTTTCTCCCATTGACTTATAATGGGGAGGTTGCAAAATTGACCTGACCTTAGGTCATCGATATCAAAATTCTGAGATATACATTTTGTACATGCTATTGCTCTTAGCAATCGCTGAAAGTTTCAAAGCAATCGGTCACTCGGTGTAGCTATGACAGACATTGAAACTTTTTATGAGGTGAGGTCACTTCAAGTGACCTGGTGACCTGACCTTGAATGACCTTGGTCTGAAATTTTCACAACATGTGTAGAATTGATGTATGATAAGGTGTACCAAAAACGGCGGCGCTCCGCGCCGCCGTTTTTGAGAAATTTGCGAAAAACCACAAGGGGGGTGTTCAAACACCCCCCAGCAGGGCGCGGGTTAACATATAGGACACTTTATATGACTTGCTAACCCAATGTCGAGCTTCCACGAGTTATTTCGCGTCCCGCTTGTTGATCTTTAACCGTAAATCTGCTGTCATCAGACTGCCTGCTGCATTAGCCAGTAGCCACCAGTCTCATTCACCAGCTGACCCACACTGTCCAATTGATCTGACCTGCTGGCCTTCTGACCTCCCACCAGACCTCCAGCTGACCTCTGATGCCCTTTCTGCCCTTAACCCTCCCACCTGACCTCCTACCTGGACCCCTGCGTACCTCTAACCTCCAATCTGACCCTCAGCTGACCTCTGACCATCATCTGACCCCCAGCTGACCTCTGACCACCTGACCTGCCCCCCAGCGAACCCCAGCCACCTCGGACACCATGGCCCGACCTCAGCTGCGCTCCAAGCCGGCGGCGCAGGGCACGCCGCTGCAGCCGGTCCGGTGGCGGCCCCGGGAGCCGCTGCCGCTGCCCCGTCGGCTCCGACTGCCTGGCTCGTCGGTACTCGGCGTCTGCCGGATGGTCGACAGCCTGGCTACGGGCTTCTGCTAGAGAGGAGGCAGTCTCGCCACATGCTCCTGCTAGATGACTGTAGTCTCACCAAGTCTTCTAGACGGTGCCAGCCGTCACCGGCGTCTACTAGAGGACTAGTCTATCAAAAGTCTGCTAGACGGCGGCAGTATCGTCAGAGTTTCTCGTAGCGCCTGTCTCAGCCGCCTTCGGTGAGAGGGTGACAGTCAGGCTGCCCGGGGGATGCTGTGGTGTGGGCGACGGCCGAAAAATGACGGCGTTTCTTCAAGACTCCTCGTCAGGTTAATCAGTGTGAACAGGGTCTGTCATGTAAGGTAATGAACGGAGGACGAAATCCGGAACCGAATTCAACCAGCCGCTCCAAGATTGTTTACGACTCTGGCACTCAAACAGCCATCCGCAATGTTTGCTATCATTTAAAATATGGCCCACTCTGCTTTTACTTTACGGAGACATGGATACGGGCCGCTGTATTATCGCTATAACATCGGTGCCCCCTAACCATTCCTATCTGACCTGGCCGGATCCATCAATTTGTGCTAACTTTATCCTTAAGAGGTCACGAGGGCTTGTGTTCTGAGGTGAGGACGTCCAGAGGTTCGGCGATGGAACCGGCCACGGCAACTGCCGACGATCTTTAGTGGCTACGGAGTCTAGCAGGTATGAGAAATCACACATATGATGAATGATAAACAGGGTGCTGATATATATTGAACGAATTATCATGCCGGTGAGGTGATTCTCCAGCAATAGCAACTGATTCAGGTGTGCCAGTGCCATTACGTTTGTGGTGAATGTAATTATACATGAGCGGTGTATGTTGTGTGCACTAATCACTAGTCAGAAGTACCTAGTGACAATACGATACTATACGAATGTGCGTCAACCCACGCGGTCGATGCCTACTCATGCCGTTTATGGTGGTTATCATTGGCATGTGTCACTTAACATTAAAGTTAAGTGGTTTATGTATCGAAGGTAATACACAATGTCATAAGCACAGTTTACAGATGTGTGCCGAAATCTATATCAACTTGCTTTCATGTTCTGGTGCATTGCAAACAGTTGTGTTATCGTACTTAAGAATTATTGCCCACTTGTGATGTAATTCATCCTGTTTTCATGAACCATACGCTCAGTATGTATGATTGTGACGTAAACCCACTTCGTTTTCACATGCGAGTAGGTTTGCGACGTAGTTTTGACTTGTTCACATCCTTTTGTGTTATGTTCCGTCACTTGAAACACCTTTAATGTCAATACACATTTCATGACTAATAGAGTTCTATTTACATCAAGCTTCATCGGACAGTCAACCTTCACTAGATGAACTCTTATAAAAAATCAGAGTTTGAACTGCACATGGGGAGTTTGAACTGAACTGCTAAGTGTGTAAAATGAATATCTACGAACAGTCAAATAACAAGTCAGACAAATAACGGATAGTCGGGTGGCAACGGTCGGTCGTGATGGCACGGTCGATCAGGGTGAAACCCTCTTGATCTCTTCTATGATTCGCGTTCCAGTTCACGATGCTCGTATATCAATTGTGGATGTAATATTGGCACTGGACATTTTTCATGCTCTCCTGACTCCTGATAACTAGTTCCATGGGATCCATTAGGATCGAACCCTAGCTTTACAAAGTTGCTGAAAAATCGGTCTTGAAATCGGGAGTAAACTTTTGTACATTTGGCCCCGGTTTCCTTCCCTTTCTTTTTGGCGTTGTCCTAGTGTTTTAACCCTCGCATGTGTAGGGGGGGGGGGGGTCGGATGGACCCCCCCCATGGTTTTTCGCGAGTGACTCGCGTAAAAAGCGGCCGATCGCGACGAAACTTTCAGTACCCTCGCATTGATCAATTTTACACCTACCCTGAAAATTTCATGACCCTGACCCAAATGACCTTTGACCTGTGACCTCTTTTCCGAGACCATGTTTGGCCGGAATCGCGATTTCGCGTATGTCGGCTCGCACTAGCCGCGTGTTTGCAAGCTTTTCGTGGTTTCAAACGTTCAAACATGTGATTTGATGTTACTCCCGTGTGTGTCAAGGTCACCTGAAGGTCAGATCAGGTCATTGACCTTTGGTGACCTCGGGTGACCTCGGGTCACTTTTTCGAGTTTTACATGTTTCTAGGCTAGTTTTTGGAGCTGAATTCGAATTTAGCAACCATTTGAACATTTACGAAGTAGTTTTGGTGACTTCGTAACATGTTACGAAGCTGTCAGAGGCGGTTGACACGTACTACGAATACCCGTCACGACGCCTACTGGTTGACCTGACCTGACCTGACCCGACCTGGTCTAAATGCTTCAAGACATCATCTGTGATCAAAACTAACACGATATTCGTGATCAGCACCCCGAAAAACCCCTTAGCAGCCACACTTTACGACTTTCTAACAGGTCCCGATTTTCCCGACTTTGGGTCATTGACCTGACCTGGAAGGTCAACCAATGACCTAGGACCTTAAAATTGGGTATCATCGGCTTCCTCTCGTCACGGGCAACACGCTCGTTTTTTCCGCGAAGCTCTAGCTCGATCAGGGGCCAAACGGCAAGGGGGGGGGGTCCAACCGACCCCCCCCCCTACACATTAGAAGCTGGCAAACGCCGCACACATGCGAGGGTTAATGAAGTCGGTTTGTCGATAAGTTGTGAACATACTGATAGCGTATTTTTTATTGAGATTTTATATCCTGATTTATGTAGCAGACATAATGCCCGACCCGGGCCCGAGGCGATGCCAAACAATCAGCCAGAAACGATGGCTGGCGAAGAAGTGAAGGCCGCAGCCCTAATGCTGGAACTAGCCCGTACCAAAAGCTCATTACGAGTATGGTGGGGACCAGGCTCTAATATGGGCGGTATGAATGAAGAAATCGACGCACACGATACCTATCCTATGCATTCGTTATTTTCTGAAACAAAAGCTAATTTCGTGCCTATTTTCTTGCGCTCCGAAAAAAACAGGTAGGAACTGAATCAATTGTGGGAAAGCTACATAGACAACCTCATTGAAAACGCTGAATATACATATGCTTTTTTTAACTCGAGCATTCTGGGGGAAATATTGCGTGATTTTATCCAAAGGCCAATGCCGCTCTGCCAGCTGCTGCATCCATTTGAGCTGCATCCGTAGGTGTCGCTGTTTCGGTCGACTTTCCTACACAGGTGGCGCTGGGCGCCGGTCCGCTGCCGTCTACCATCGGGGTGTATTTTCACTTGGCTTTGCTGTTGCACTGAAATACGGGCCAGCTCCTCAGCTGTCAGCCTCACACAACTAATATATCGTGCTTAATGAGATATGGGCCGGCTGCTCAGCAGTCAGCCTCGCGCAACTGATAAGCCACTTTAAGCCATGTTATCATATTGTTGAACTACCTACCTATATAGAACCAGTGCTTTCCGCGATAACTAATTTTCGGACCTGCGATAACGATAAAACGATAAGTAAGGTTTGCGATAACGATAAACGATAAACGATAAAAATTTGCAAAAAATTAACAGCCTTAGCGATAAAACGATAAAACGATTACGGTAATTGTTTTGATGATAATAAATCGTTTAGCGGACTGACTCTGGGTGTAAAGAAGTTATTTTTCCCTGTACTTCGACCTTTATTGTTTCCTCGGCCGGCTCCTACCCAGGAGATGGCAGTAACTGGGGAGTGTTCGCTCGGTCGTGGGGATTACCGCTGTGCCAGCCAGCGTCCCCGGCCGCATGTCCACGGGCCTGATCCGCCTTTAAACAGATCCTTCGGTCCGGTGACATGTCCCGAGGGCACGGCCTCGCTTCATGTCCCGGAGCAACCCTCTGACCTGCCGGGCCCGAGCAATCGGGATAGCCCCAGCGTGCTGCGTGCACACCAGTGCGGTGCCACCTGGGGTACGTGACAGGAAGCGTGCGGTCAAGGCTGTCCCGCGTAGCGGGTGCCGAAAACGCTTCGTACCACTGCCGTGTATATAGTGTACTAACCCAGTATGCATGTGTGCTACTAACGACAAAAAGCCCGGGTCGGGCAACAAAAATATTAAAAAAATACTTCGACCTTTATTGACAGGTTTTCATACCTGGGTTTAAATATGACTTTACAGTCTCATATAGGTAATTGTTTTGTTAACAGCGATAACGAAACGATAAACGATTCAACGATAACGATAATTGTTTTTTAACAGCGATAACAAAAGCGATAAGAAATATAGCTTAAATAAGTGTACTTAAAGTTTATTTACAGATCTATACACTTAGCAGATGGCAACAGGTTGCGCACACACACTGTCGCGCGGCATACACTGTCGATCGTCTTCCACTTTTCCATCATCCCGTTTTACATTTTATCGTTTATCGTTCATAATTTTTGTATTTTGCGATAAGTGGATGAGCGATAATTTTGAAAATTTAGCGATACAGATAACGATAACCGATTTACTTAACAGCGATAATTATCGTTTATCGTTTATCGCTCATCCTATCGCATGCGGAAACCACTGTATAGAACGACTTTATGTTCTGATCCCACCAGAAAGTTACTTATCTTACTAGGTAGGTGTTGCAGCCCCGGTTCCGTCAGAACGGGTGCGTCAGCTCCCCTATAACTCTGTGAATGAGTACCAATCGATTCTCCATCACATTTACCTCTCCTCGATCTGGCCCGACAGTGACCAGGTAGCTGGTCAATTACTTGCATGAACGCACCACATGTACCGACTTATTATTATTTCTTAACATTATGCGTGTGTGCAACACGTGCGTTATAAAAAAGCGCGTCAATACATACACGCAGAACGTCTTCAGATATCGGCCAACATTTCGAAATCTGCTCGTTGGCCGTTCCTAGGTTTCATTGCTGCTTGTGGGGGGTTATGCGTCGCCAAGCTTATATCTCCGCCCACAGACCCCTTTAAACATGGACTGTGCACTGGCTTGGCCTAATCGACATTTGAGGCAAAATTTTACAAGCTTCTTAAATCACTTTAAATTGGTAGAATGGCCGCGAAAATTTATCTACAGATTCGTCTGGCCTTCATCTTTTGAATGAAAGTTCTATAGTCATAAACAATTAAATATTTTTGGATAAAATTGATCTTTTGTAGACTCTGTTCTCTATCGCAACTGCAGGATTAAAATATGCAACCGAACGGAAGTGTCCCTTAAGACGACAAACGTGACGCGATATGCAGCGAAATTTTGGAAAATAAAATCTTTCACATGGTTGTTATGCACATCGAAGGACATCTCTGTCCATCTTGCTGTCCATCTGTCAGTTTTTGAAGTGTATTGGTAAGTTTATTCATGTTTTAATTGTTAACACTTCGCTGATATGTAGATTTTAGTAGGCATACATTTTTAAAATGGCACGTAAATGTGCTGTTCTTAAGTGTAGATCTGGTTATAAACAGAAAAAGTCTGTTTTCAAATTCCCTGTGGATAAAACCCGTCGTCAGAAGTGGATAGAGGTACTAAAGCCCCTGAAGCCAATATCTCTGGACTACAGTGGAGTGTGTGAGCTGCATTTCTCGACGGAGAGTTTTTGCGAGGAAGCACTAACAGCCAGAAGAACTGACCGAAAAAATCTGCGTTTGAGACCAGATGCAATTCCAAGCATATATATGCTCCCCATCAAGTAAGTGCCTGACTATACAGGGTGTCCCGAAAGTTTTGCAACATCATTAACGTTGTAAATTAAACACTTCAGAGTTGTCCTTTCCGCTTTATTTAACAACCAACATAGTCACCGCGAAGCCGGGCACACTTCTGGACACGTGATGGCATGCTGGCCACCAGGCGGCGCAGTGTGTCCGCGGAGATGTCTCTCCAGGCCTTCTTTAGCCGGCGCTCGAGCTGACCCAGGTTGGTGGCGGGCTCCTGCTGGTCGAGGCTCTCCTTCATGATTGCCCACACATTCTCTATCGGGTTTAGGTCGGGGGAGTTGCCAGGCCACTCCCCTTTACCCCAAAACCCTGGGAGGTGTTCCGCACACCATTCTTGTGTCCGCTTTGCGGTGTGTGCTGGTGCGCCATCTTTCATAAAAATTCCTTCTGACCTCCGGTCGACGATTTTCTTCTCCGTGACACCGCCATTGCTGCTCTTACGGTTGACCGCCGGCAGAAGTGAGCCCTCCAGAATCTCGGACACGTAGTATGCGGTGTTGACAGTCTGGTTTTTTGGCACCACGTGAAGTTCAGTCAGGCCCTGTGCGGTCATTCCGCCCCACACCATGAGTTTCGCGGGGTGCTTGATGGTTTCAACCGGGGGCACTTCGTCGCGAGATTTCGCCCAGACTCGATCGTTTTGCCGATTTGGCGTGTGCTGGATTTCGAAGATGGACTCGTCGGACCAGATGACGTTCTTGAACTCATCGAAGCCCCAATTTTTTACCCTCTTGCAAAATTCCAATCTTGCAAGCTTCTATTTTCTTGTCATTTTCGGCTGTTTTGATCTTTTGTACGACCGGAAATGCTTCGACTGGGTCATGAACCGATGGACACCCGACTTTGACACCGGGTAACCCTTTCGCGTCAGCCGCGTGGCCAATTTCCTGACGCTTTGGCCACGCTTGCCAGCAGCTTTGGCACAGACGATTCTGGCGACGTTGGACACGGCACGCGGCCGGCCTGAACGTTTCTTGTCGGCTAACGGTTTGCCGTCGCGAAAACGTTTCCACCACCGGTAGACAGTGGTCCGATCGACGCCCAGCTTCTCTGCGACAACCCCCTGCGCCACGCCACCTTCCAGCAACCCGATCGCGCGGGAGCGCACCGCCTCTCTGCGCGTTACCCGTCCGGCCACCTTCATGTCTGCGACTGACCTAAGGTCAGACGGCGGCCGCCCCAGACGGGTCAGCCGTGCCCCGCGGCAATAACCGCCGCTGGGTCGGGTGGGCAGTCGCGCCGTCTACCCGGGACAAGCGGAAGGTTGCCAGTGGAACGTTGATATTAGCGGTAGAGACAAAACATATGGGAAAACGGATGTTGCAAAACTTTCGGGACACCCTGTATATTTTTTTATGTGTGAAACTACCATTTCGTCAAAATATGTAAAGTAATCGTAACGAACTTCTCCAAGTCTTCTGTGACGGAGTGTGTGTGGGTAAATATTTTGCGTGTGCATGGCAAAATCTTTTTCTCCTAATAAAAAGTTTGAGTGCTCATCATCGCTACACCGACTGAACGATTGCCTTGACACTTTCAGCCATTGATACGATTAACAGTGTCTGTAAAATGTACCTTTCAAAATGTTGATATTGGTGACCTAAGGTCAGGCCAATTTTGTGACCTTTTCATTTTAACCGCGCTCTCTGGAGGCTAAACCGTTGATCTAAGGTCCAATCTAAGAACACATTAGCGAAAGAGCGTCAAAAGAGATATCTGAAATGCGGTTTTGCACGACGCTGTAGTTCTGGTTTCCGATTTATGCGCCAGTTTGTCGAAAAATGTTGAAATAGGTCATGTTTGACCTTTGAAGACCTCTGGTGACCTGACCTTTGACCTGACCAAAAAATGACTGAAGTAGTTTCGTCATGATTTTTGACGTTCTTTCGAATGCCACTTGTGTGTCGTTAGGTGGCCCAGGAGCCGAGTTAGATGGAGGGCTATCAATGACCCCCATCAGGGCGTTAAACATCCAGAGGCCCAGCAGGACACGGGTCATATAATATAATTTGTCAAAATTTTATGTCACCGGAAATCATTTGCAGTTTTTCTACTACAACTATCCACTCGATGAAGACAGAGAAAGGAAAATGGTACGAATTGGCGTTCAATCACCCTTTATCAACTAACTGGTAAAAATGCAGTTTTTGCGCAAATTAAAGATGTCGGTTTGTTTAGTAGGCCTCTGGCAACTTTTGGAAGCTGCATACACTCCCAGCCAAAATACATGAATTAAGTAAATACGCATTTCTTTTCTTTTCAGCGACGGCGGGGATGAGGCCGAGGTGTCTCAACGTCCCACGTCGCGCGCAACGCCTACAGCGAGGCGAGAACAGCAGAGGCGGATCTGGAAAAGTCAAGAAGACACCATGTTTCAGGAGGAAATGGTGCTCTCTGCTGTTGAGATGGCCGAGAAACTGGCTTCTCACACTATGCCGTCGGGATTCATTCTCGTCAAGATGCCAGCGACTGAGCTGAAGGAGGACGTTTTGTCCATCCGAATGGAGACCCTGGACGTAGCGCGAGGCCCTCTAGTGGTGCGCAGTTTGACGATATATCAAGATCTGCGGTACCAAATGCATGTGTCTGGCCGAGAATTGTCTACCTCCGCCACGGCCCACTTGGTAAGGAACACAGAACGATTTCAAACCACGTCGGAAGTGCTGAACGTGCTGGCGTTTCTAAAGGCGCAGCCTCTAGAAGAGTGCACAATGACATCCTGCCTGGAACTGCTGCAGAAGCTGGCTGAGGACGACACAACCGACTGCAGAGTCTTCAGTGTGTTCGCTGTCGAGCAGCTCCGACTGAGGACCTGTCCCAGAACCGCCCGCAAGTACAGCCCATCACTCCTCGGAACAGCTGTCATCTGGAGCCGGACAAGTCCCCAGCTATATGAAGAACTCCGAAACTCTGGACTCTTCATCTTACCGCACCGGTCCACACTAAGGAGACTTACGTCTGCACTCAGTGTCCAGGAAGGCCTTGAAATCGGTACGATGAAGTACCTGCAGATGAGGAACGCGAAGCTGACGCCAAGAGAGAGGATAGTAAATCTCGCTATGGACGAAGTCTACTGCGCCCCAACGCTGGAGCTCGCCGGCGGAAGACTGCATGGGGAATCAAGTGATGGCTCTGGAAAAGCGACCACAACGCTTTTCTGTACCCACATTTCATCTGTCGCTGGCAGATACGAGGATCTGGTCACGATGTCACCAGTGGCGCACGTCACAACGCAGGAAATGGTGAAGATGTTCTTCAACGTAGTGAAAGGCCTCACGGAGCTCGGATTTCGTGTGGTCTCTGTCACCACCGACGGACATCGCACAAATCAAAGCTTCCACCGAGCGCTCGGAGATGGCACCCACCCCGAGTACATCGTGAACCCGTGGAGCAGTGATGGGCTGGGAAGAATCTACACGATGTTCGATACAGTCCATCTGTTCAAGAACATCTTCTTTAACTTGTTGAACAAGAAGACTCTTCTCTGCCCGCCGTTCGAAAAGACCGGAGCTGCCCTAACGGTGAAATCTTTTCACCTTGAGAAGCTTCACAGAATGGAGTTCGGCTCTCCAGTGAAGATGGCCTATCGTCTCTCCGATAAAGTCCTCAACCCGACGAGCATAGAGCGCGTGAACGTGAAGCTGGCAGACTCCGCCACCCACGAGACCACCATAGCAGGGCTCATGGTGTACAGTAAGGAGCCTGGGTGCGACGGATTCGCAGACACTGCCGAGTTCCTGAAGATAGTAAGGACTTGGTTCAACATTGTGAACGTGAAGTCGCCATACAAGCACGTGGCCAAAAGGGACGATTTACTCAAGCCCATCTGCCTGGAGAATGAAGACTAGGGTGTCCCAAATTTCATGAAGTTTTCCAATTCACTTAGGATACACCGGGATCCCGTTCCTTGGTTCATTTGAACCTCACACACCAATTTATAGAGTAAACTACCGGTAAACAAGGTTGCCGCTAGTGCTCTGAAGTTTTATTTGCATTTTGGTGTTATATGATAGTGCAGCGTTGTAGTCTCCGAATGCAAAATGGGAAATATGTGTAAGCAACGTAGCAATATTACCTTCTTCGATGCTCAGTGATGCTCAGATCCCACGCACAATGCACAATGATGAAAATCCGGGTTTATGTACGCATACATACGTGTGCATGGTGTGTCAAAAGTGGAAATAGCGGCCCGGCTTTAGTTCGCCAGCCTTGTCAATAGATGGCAGTACCACAATATGGGCAGCGGATCGTGCAATTGACGTCAAATTTTCGTTATCTGCTAAGAATTGAATGGCGGATTTTTTCATGCAATAATCAAGTAAATCGGTCCACAACTTTTCTAGCAACAGAGATATGAAGTCAAACACCCTGCCATGATTTCCATTTCGTTTAGGAGTAAGCGATCAAATAAAGGTCTCAGATTAGTGCTTCACATGTCTCGCTTCAGATCGAACCGTCTGCGGCAATGGCACACCACATAAACGCAGATTGAACAGAATCAAATTTACATTGCAGCTATGGGTATTAAGTTCATCGTACCCTGTCCTGAGACCGTCCACGCGTAACATCACCGTACCCTGCTCCGAGATCCGTCTAAACAAACATCATGCCTTGCTCTGAAAACCGTCTGAAACATCGTACCCTATTTTGAGCTGCGTCTAAAACATCGTAGGTACCCCATTCTGAGATCCGTCTTAAACATCGTACACTGCTCTGAGGTCCATTTACACTCTACGGTCTACACGTAACGTCATCGCACCCTGTTTAATATCTGTCTACCACTACAGACTAGAGATGCCCCAAATTTGCAATTTCGTTACCCGCCCCGCCCCGCAGCTACCCCTTGCCCAACCACAACTACCCGCAAGCTGATTTTGGCTGAGCCGAACCCGCAAAAAACCCGCAATCTTAAAAACATACTTTTGCAAGAAAAAAATACAGCTGAGTCAATGCTAGAGCTATATAAACCTTACTTGCTTCATTGCTGTGCAGAAAAAGACAGCCAAACAAATAGTAAGGACTTGAAATTGCTATGCTAAGTCCTCAGGAAGTGCACACTGGATAGTGGAAAATGAATAATGCATCAATACATTTGAAATTCCTTTCTGAAGAGTTCAGTAAAATCTTTCTCTCACCTTACCCTTCAGCATTGGCTGAGGATCAAAATTTCACTCTGGCTCCCTCTCAATGTTAGGCCTCTGGAATGATATTGTTATCAAAATGAATGTTGATATAAAAAGATATGCGATTTCCAGTTAAAAATTAATAGTGACACAGTGAATAATGAGTATCCAGTCGATCTACACATAAAACAAATCATGCAAAATCCCAGCAAAAACCAACTATAATAACATATATGGCCTTGCAAGTTGCAACTAACCACCAATGAACCACGCATTTCTGGAAACATGCGTCAGAAGCGTCACCAACAGCTGATTGAAAGGAATGTTACAGCGACTAAATTATTGCGGCCGTAGTTAGTCGAACTTGTTGCGAAAACACTGTTGTATAATGCATATTCATGTGCCATTCTGATTAAATTATTTTACACAACAGCTAAAGTTTTACAATTTAGAGGTTAATCACCGGTTTAGAAATAAAGAGACAGTAAATGCTAAATTAAATGTAATGATTTTATAGATGGTCTTGGTAATGCTCTCCGGCTGGTCATCTGTCGGCATACAAATGATAAGGACGTAAAAAGACAAAAGAAATAAATGCGACCAGCTACGTGGTTTTGTAACATGTATAACTGCTATTTTGAGGCATTCAAAAACCGAGACAGAAAAACTGATTGAAAATTATTGCGTCATCAATGACAGCTTTCCTTCGCCTCAGAGACCAAAATTGACGCAGTCAAATGCCAATCCTTGTCAGAATGTCGGAAGTGCGCCAGTATTGTATTGCGTTATGTTTGGGCCGGCCAGTCTATATTTTGATTTTTTGTAAGGGTAATTGGTGTGTTATTTTCGTAATATAGGGTGGAACAGAACATAGAGTAGGATAGGTAATCAATGAATTTGCATCATATTTTGTTTAGCTGATAGCTCTTTTTTATGCCGACCAGACGCAAATAAAGTAACATGTGGCATTTGCTCTGATTTTCAACATCTCATTTAAGTCTGGGTTCTTCCATAATGTATATCTAGTGCACACTGCGCAGTGCACATACAGGGTGATTTTTTTTACTTGTTAAAAAGTAACGAGGTCTAGTGGGGTTAAAATGCAAATATATCTTGCAAAATTATATGCCAGGATGACGAGCATTCTGGGACATTTTGATTTCATGCAGACACGATGCGAAGGAACGTCCATCGTGTATTTTACTTGTGCTTGAAGTTACCCCCTCTCTCACCGACACGACTCAGCCCGCCTGAGCACGTGTTGAACAGCACCATGGACTCTCATACTCATTAGGCGGACTGAAATAGCTCCTATCGCCCATTTTCAGCTCTGCCAGATATTTCCAATGTTTTCTTGTTATATCTGCCATAGCTGGGTCCAAAAACTAGAAGTCTAGGGAGGGCAGGTCGAGGATTTTGATACTGGCGGCCCTGATGGTGTCTGACTCGCTGTTTTTCTTTCTCCCTGAAGACTGATTCTTCAAAAGCTGCTCATACGCCAGATGGACCGTTTGAAGGTTATTTATGACTACAAGCTTGTTCATGCGTTATTTAACGTCTTTCTGAGGTATCTCCTTGATCATCGTATGCTTCGAACTGCCTCAATGCTTCAGAATCATCGTTTTGTGTCGTTCCTTACTGAACGGCGGTGGACCATGCGTGCCCGATTGGTGGGACATTTTCAGGCTCCATTGGGGCCGAGGCCGTCGGTGAAAAGGGACAAATGATGACACCACACAAAATGTCCCAGATTTATCTATCACGTGCATTGCTTTTTTGCACGCGATTTTTCGATTTAGGGACCACCATTGACGTTTACTTTTTAACAGTTAAAAAAAATCACCCTGTAGACTTCAGTTCAGCTTCCTATAAGTTTGCTTTCAGGGTCTTTTATGTTTTATGGAATGCTTTCATCAGCATTTATTTATGCTTAGTAGTTTATTGCTTGTACTTGCTTGTACCCTGGTTTGGTCATTGCCAGACTGTGGATGCTATTGCTGGTTGTTTTCAGTTTTGCATTTGAAATGTGCTTCCTTGATATATTTTTATATTTGGTTCTGTTTTAAAAGTTGTTTTGATGAATATTGTATTGTTAACCTGAGCAAATGCACTTGGCATTGTGTTTTGCATCTAAAAAAAAATAAAAAAAAAATATAGGTTCTTAAGTCTGACCGCCAAATACCCGCCACACGACAAGTTTTGCTTCTCGAACCCGCCAAAAACCCTGCGGGTTTTGAAAACCCGCAGAAAGCGGGTTCGCGGGTTCAAAAAGGGCATCTCTACTACAGACCCATGTAACGTCCTTCTTCGTGTGACCGTAAAGCGACCTGTGCCATGCCACCACCTGGGCCAGCACCGTTCCGTGCTTCTATCCTCAGGATACTGAAATCCTTCTCCTCCACGCCGCAACCCCCCTCCGGGCTGGCCAGGCAACTTTATCTCATGCGGGCTGCTCCCTTGGAGCGGCACCGCTGCTCCCGAGGGAGCACACCCCGTAGCCGGGTGCAGTGAGTGCCTTGGGGCTGGGTGGCCTGTCCTCTGGACGGGCTCAGCCCCGGTGACTCACTAGGGTGCCTGCCCAGACCAATATCTCCCCCTATATCCTATCATCCTCCCGGCTCTGAAATGGTCTCATTGGACCGAAAGGGCCTAACCCAACAAAGCAAAGAAACAAACTGGGCCAGCGCCTGCAGCTGGTCCTCATCTTTCGTTCTGTCCATCATCTCCTGTGCCAGCTTCACTCCGCGATCCGCTCCATCATTCACAACTGCCAGGCTGTTGACGTATTTGTGAACTGCGTTGTAACCTGAGATACTTTTCCATTTTGACAGGCTCTTGCAACCATTCGAGGGCGCACTCATCCATATTATGGATGAGTGCCTATGATTCTCATAGCCGGGTGCCCGTTGCAACTATTCGAGGGCGCACTCATCCAGATTCTGGATTAGTGCGCCCTCGAATGGTTGCAAGAGCCTGTCAAAAAAATGCAAAAGTATCTCAGGTTACAACGCAGTTCACAAATACGTCAACAGCCTGGCAGTTGTGAATGATGGAGCGGATCGCGGAGTGAAGCTGGCACAGGAGATGATGGACAGAACGAAAGATGAGGACCAGCTGCAGGTGCTGGCCCAGGTGGTGGCATGGCACAGGTCGCTTTACGGTCACACGAAGAAGGACCACGTGGGTCTGTAGTGGTAGACAGATATTATAGCAAGGTGCGATGACGTTATGTATAGACTGTAGAGTGTAGATGGGCCTTAAAACAGTGTAGGATGTTTAGACGGACCTCAGAGCAGTGTACGATGTTTAAGACGGATCTCAGAGTAGGATACGATGTTTTAGACGAATCTCAGAGCAGGGTACGATATTTTAGACGGATCTCATAGCCGGGCACGATGCTGTTGACGGATCTCAGAGCAGTGTATGATGTTTAAGACGGATCTCAGAATGGGTTACGATGTTTTAGACGCATCTCAGAAAAGGGTACGATGTTTCAGACGGTTTTCAGAGCAAGGCATGATGTTTGTTTAGACGGATCTCGGAGCAGGGTACGGTGATGTTACGCGTGGACGGTCTCAGGACAGGGTACGATGAACTTAATACCCATAGCTGCAATGTAAATTTGATTCTGTTCAATCTGCGTTTATGTGGTGTGCCATTGCCGCAGACGGTTGGATCTGAAGCGAGACATTTGAAGCACAACCTGAAACCTTTATTTGATCGCT